GAACATGGACGGGCGGATTGATGGATGATAGATAGACATGACGGACGAATGGATTGATGAATATATATACGATGGGTGGATGGGCGATAGAGATGATGCCCAGGAGATGCCCAGTTGAGGGCTCCTTCCTTGTCCCTGGCAGGAGCTGGAGGGAAGGACGGGAGCTCCACCCTGCCCCAAGGCAGCACTTGGGTCTCCAACACGTGCTGCTAACTTCCAACCCTGCATCCTAACCACACAAGCAATCCTGCTCCGAATAGATGGAGATAGATAGATTAGATATGACGGATAGATGTCATGGATGGAGGGGTGATAGATACGATGGATGGATGGATGGATGGACAGTGAGAGAGAGAGAGAGAGAGAGAAAGAGACACACACACACACAAAGAGAGAGAGAGAGAGACACACACACACACAAAGAGAGAGAGAGAAAGAGACACAAACACACACAAAGAGAGAGAGACACACACACAGAGAGACAGACACACACACACACAGAGACAGAGAGACAGAGACAGAGGGAGACACACACAGAGACAGAGAGAAAGACACACACATACACACACATACAGAGACAGAGACACACACACAGAGAGAGACAGAGACAGAAAGAGACACACACACACAGAGAAAGAGAGACAGTGAGAAAGAAAGAGAGACACAGAGAGAGAGAGACACAGAGACACACACACACACACACACACAGAACGAGACAGAGAGAGACAGAGACAGAGGGAGACACACACACACACACAGAGACAGTGTGAGAAAGACACACACACAGAGAGAGAGACAGAGACACACACACAGAGAGACAGAAAGAGAGAGAGAGACAGAGAGAGACACACACACAGAGACAAATAGAGAGAGACAGTGAGAGAGAGAGAGAAAGAGAGAGACACAGAAAGAGAGAGACAGAGAGACAGAGACACACAAACAGACACACACACACACACACACACACAGATATTAGAATTCTTTATGACATGATTGGGCTGTGCCAGATGGACCAACATTTGGGGGGGGGGACATAGCTTGGTCCAGTTCAATACACAATCAAGCAACCCAGCTTTATCCTCCTTTCCAGAACCGACGTCGGTCCGCCTCTCTTTCCCTGCAGGGACCCTTCCTCAACAATGCGCCTCTGCTTCAGACACGGCTGCCGACAGCTCTCCCCTCCACCGGCTGATGAACTGCCTGAAGGAAATCCCCATACGACGGCCAAGTTATCTCAACACGCCGAACGCCTTCTCCTCTTCCTCTTCCTCCTCCTCCTCCAGCTGCAGTGAAACCGAAAGGGACCAACAGAGCCCAGGAAATTCAGCCTGGTGGGACAGTGGCCTGGGTCGGCATCAGCCACCAGGTGGGCCTAGGGCTGGGCTTGGAGAGGCCTTGGATGTTTTGAGGAGTGGGAGTAGAAGCCGTCCAAATTAGCGGTCCCAAACCTTCCGGGTTTTGCGGACCCGCGGTGGCAGTGGAAAAGGGATGGTTCCGTACCAGCGGCGAGTGAACGCGCGCGTGCGCGCCGCTCCCTTTGCACAAGCGACAGGCACATACGGCTTGCACAAATGTTGCTTTGCGTGTGTCCATGCTGGCCCGCCGCTCGCACAAGTGGAACTCCGTGCGCGCTTGCGTGCCACTGGTGTGGACCGGTTCCGAACTGGCTGCAGCTCGCTAGTGGGCTGAAATCGTGGCATTGGGGACAGTTTGGGAGGGTTTAGGAGATGGACCCTTGGCTGCACCTCCTTCACCCTCAGTCACCTGCCTTAGCTTTCCTCCGCCGCTGACCCTCCCCCGGCCATTTTCCATGGCCCTTTGGCCTGACCCGTCCATCCAGTTGTCATTTCACTCAGGCTATTGGGCTGTACAGGACCTCCCCCCCAGTGGCCCTGGTGGCTGCTACTCCCACCACCACCCTCCCTCCGGCCCTGGTGACAGATCTGCAAGGGCGAGGGGTGGAGGACCAGGGGGCCATTGGCCATGGAGAAAGGCCAGTGGAGGGCCAGTGGAGGAGGAAAGCCGGCCATAAATGAGCTGAGGGTGAAGGACGCACAACCAAGGGTCCGTGCCTAAATGTCCAATTCTGTGTGGGGGACCGCTGGTCCAGATGAGTCTCGCGCATCAAGTCCAGAGCAGGATATGAAATACGAGACCTTCCATCTTGGACATGTCCTGTTACATGGTTTTTCCCCCCACTTTCTGGACACATTCCCAGGATCTGAGAGGGATGTCCTCGTGGGACCAAAAGTGACGATGGAGCCCAAGAGGGAACATCTGTCCACCCAATTTCCTGCAGAAGAGGAAGAGAAGTTGGCCTCCGCACAAGAGGCCGACGTTGCGGACAGCGTTGACGAAGCACCTTCTGCCTCTCTCCTTGGCAACCCGGAGAATGACGCAAAGGATACGGGGGTCAAGCAGATGTTTCCCTCCATCACCCCGCTACAACGCTCCGGAACTCAGCGAGCTGTGACGTCCAGAGCCTCCGAAGCAAGAGAAGATGTACCACCTTCCGCACGTATGTAACAGGGAGGTGGCTTTTATGATGCTGAGTTGACCTCTTTGGGGACTTAAACCAGGATCTTGGGTGAGGATCAAGGTTGGCTGGGAGGGGGAGAATTCTTTGGAGAACCTCTAGGACCCTAAGGGAGAGAGCAGGAAGGAAGCCTTCTGCACAGCAGCCAAAGTGGAGATCAGACATGTCAAACTCGCGACGTCACGTGACGTAGCGCACTGTATCGGGATGGTTTTGCCATTGCCAGCAAAGGGGTGGGCGCGGCTTCCGGATGATGTGTCCAGCCCACGGGCTGGCAGTTTGACACCCCTGGTGTAGATGATAGAATTCTAGGGCAAGAAGGGACCTTTCTGGGTTGGTGGCCCAGGTGGAAGGGGACAAAGGCAGTGGTGGGATTCAACCAGTTCCCACCAGTTTGGTAGAAGCCGTAGCTAAATTTTGTTGCGTTTGGAGAACCGGCTGAACCCATGCTGCTTCTGGAAGTCCGTTCTAGACTTCGGAGGCCTGGAGGAGGTCTCCCGGACCTAGAAACGGCCCACTGGAAGTGCGTGGATGTCACTTCCGGAAATCCGTTCTAGGCCTCGGAGGCCTGGAGGAGGTCTCCCGGACCTAGAAACGGCCCACTGGAAGTGCGTGGATGTCACTTCCGGAAATCCGTTCTAGGCCTCGGAGGCCTGGAGGAGGTCTCCCGGACCTAGAAACGCCCCACTGGAAGTGTGTGGATGTCACTTCCGGAAATCCATTCTAGGCCTCGGAGGCCTGGAGGAGGTCTCCCAGACCTAGAACGGCCCGCCGGAAGTGCGTGGATGTCACTTCCGGAAGTCCGTTCTAGGCCTGCATCCACGCAGAGAACCAGATGTTCAGGTATTTGAATCCCACCCCTGGGCAAAAGGGATGGTTTTGTGGGCAGGGCGGGCGTATGTAAATGCGCGCGCAGGAGCAGCTGTTGCACGAGTGGGGCCACAAGTGTCCGCGATGCTCACGCGAGTGAGGCCCCGAGCTTTTGCACGCCCTGTGCAAGTGAGGCTACAAGTGCCTGCTACCCTTATGTGAGTGAAGGTCTGGGGCGCCCGTGACCGTTGTGCGAGTTGGGCTGCAATCGTCCACAACACTTGCAGAAGTGGGGCTATGCACGCGCACACACGTGCACACTAGCCCACTGCTCACACGGCCAGGTCACAAATAGGCCACGGACCAGTAGCGGGCTGCAGCCCACAGGTTGGGGACCCCTGTTCTATAGTCCAACTCCTTGTCCGAGGCAGAAGTCCTTCTCCCACCCCAAATGTTTGGTTGTCCACAATCTTTTGTTGAAAATGTCCAGCGAACGGAGAGCAATTATCGGGGCCTGGAAGATTGTGGTTGGCTGATGGTGACGCCTCGTTCCTTCCTTGGAGCCCCCCAGATAACAACCTGGCGGCTTCCACGCAAAAGTAGAGTGAGGAGAACTTCTCTTGAGGAGAACTTAGTTGAACGTCTCACAATCCAGGACTCTCACAGGCCGATAAAACTGGGTGGTCACCAAACCGAGCCGATCGTGATGATTCAGAATTGTCCACCCATCCGAGGAGTAGGTGGGAGAATCTTCCTAGATCTCGTCTCCTCCTCCAATGGCCTCGGTGGTTGTGACCTCTGAGGATCTCTGGAGTAAGGAAGCATCTCTGAGACTTGGGGTGTCCAACCGTAGTAGCCGCCCGCCCCGCGTTCTTCACTGTCCGTCCTTCTGCTTGGTGCAGCTCTCGTCAACAAGATCTTCACCCACGAGCTGAAGAAGGACCCAAGGGACACAACGTCAGCCCGGACCCCGAGGTGTTCCAGCCCCATGGGCCCCGGTTCCCGGGATGGGATGTCTCAAGGAGACACGGACTGGAGTCCGGGGGAAGAGCAGGTCCAGCCACTGCCTGGTGACCAAGGTGGGAGCCTCAGCTGAGATAGGATGAAAGTTGGGTTGTGAAATGGCTGCCAGAAAGCCAACGAGTTCAGAGAGCCCACAGTCCTCCTCTTCCCTCTAAAACCCGCCCCTTCCTCTTCCTCCTCCCTGGAAACTGCCTCTCTTCCAGCAGTCTTGACGTTACCTGGGTGGGTCGTGAGACGTCTGCAAGAATGTCGGAGAGTACGTAGGAGCTTAAAGTCCTCTTCCTCCCCCTCCCTCCCCCTCCTCCTCTTCTCCACAAACCCCCCTCCCTTCTAGCCCTGATGAAGCTCCCTAGTTGGGTCATGAAACGTCTGCAAGGAAACCACCCAGGTCAGAGAGCACCAAGGACCCCACCTACCTACCTTCCTTCCTTCCTTCCTTCCTTCCTTCCTTCCTTCCTTCCTTCTCCTCTTCCTCCCTTCTAGCACTGTTGATGTTTGCTAGTTGGGTCTTGAAACGTCTGCAAGGAAACCACCAAGCTCAGACAGCATCATAGTCTTTTTCTCCTCCTCCTCCTTCCTTCCTTCCTTCCTTCCAGCACTGATGACGTTCCCTAGTTGGGTCTTGAAACGTCTGCAAGGAAACCACCCAGCTCAGACAGCATCAAGGACCTCATAGTCTTTTTCTTCTTCTTTTCCTCCTCCTTCCTTCCTTCCTTCCTTCCAGCACTGATGACGTTCCCTAGTTGGGTCATGAAACGTCTCCGAGGAAACCACCCAGCTCAGAGGTCCCCCAAGGACCCCACAGTCCTTCCTCCTCCTCCTCCGCCTCTTCCTTCCTTCCTTCCTTCCTTCCTTCCTTCCTTCCTTCCTTCCTTCCTTCCTTCCTTCCTTCCTTCCTTCCTCCCTTCTAGCCCTGATAACGTTCCCTAGTTGGGTCCTGAAACGTCTGCAAGAAAACCACCCAGCTCAGAGAGCACCCAGGACCCCACAGTCCTTCCTCCTCCTCCTCCTCCCCACAGCCACCTCTCAGCCTTCGAACACTGATGCTATTCCCTAGTTGGGTCACGAAACGTCTGCGAGGAAACCATCCAAGGACACTTCCCCCCCTCCCCAGTTCTACTCTGAGCTTCTGTCAAGAGGATGGGGAGGATCTCCTCCCGGCTCTTATCCTGCCGTGGCCCCGAGTTCAAATCCTGCTCCCCTTCGGAGGGGAGGCCCCGGTGTGCTGCCGCCATATTGGGGGAAGATTGCAGGGGAGGGGAAGGGTGAATTGCGATCGGCCTCCGCCAACGGCCGGGTGACGTCTTTCTCCCTTTGCTCCGAAGGGCTGACCGGCAGCAGGCCTCTCCAGGGCCTGCTCAGCTGCCTGGAGGAGCTTGCCTACCCAAGCACCCCCAGGCCCTGCCCCTCCTTGGCCAGGAAGAGGCCCCGACAACCGCAGCACAACCAGGAGGAGGAGGAGGAAGAGCAAGCAGCCCATTGCAAAAAGAAATCCTGGCAAGGCGAGTATGGGAGGCTGCATCTCCAACGGGACAGAAGACAGAGGACAGGGGGATTCTGGGAGTCGAAGTCCACCTTTCCTCAAGCATGCTGGCTGGGGGATTCTGGGAGTCGAAGCCCGTCCCTCTTAAAGCAGGCCGGCTGGGGGATTCTGGGAGTTGAAGTCATTCCCACTTAAAGCATCCTGGCTAGGGGATTCTGGGAGTTGAAGTTCACCCCCTTAAACATCCTGGCTGGGGGATTCTGGGAGTCGAAGTTCACCCCTCTTAAAGCATGCTGACTGGGGGATTCTGGGAGTTGAAGTTCGCCCCTCTTAAAGCATGCTGACTGGGGGATTCTGGGAGTTGAAGTTCACCCCTCTTAAAGCATCCTGTCTGGAGGATTCTGGGAGTCGAAGTCCACCTCTCTTAAAGCATCCTGGCTAGGGGATTCTGGGAGTTGAAGTCCTCCCCTTTTAAAACATGCTGACTGGGGGATTCTGGGAGTCGAAGTCCACCCCTCTTTAAGCAGCCAAGCTTGAGAAACGCTCGGAAATTCGGGCACCCAGAGCTGAACCATTGCATTTGATCAACCTAGAGCAGGGATAGGCAACCCTGGCTCTTTTATGACGTGTGGACTTCAACTCCCAGAATTCCTGAGCCAGCCTGGCTCAGCTTGGAAACCCCTCCCTTTCCCCTCAGCGTGGCTGGCTCAGGAATTCTGGGAGTTGAAGTCCACATGTCATAAAAGAGCCAAGGTGGCCTACCTCTGGCCTAGGCTTAGGCTGCTTTATCACTCGGAGACTTCAACTCCCAGAATTCCTGAGCCAGCCTGGCTCAGCTTGGAAACCTCTCCCCGTCCCCTCAGCGTGGCTGGCTCAGGAATTCTGGGATTTGAAGTCCACCAGTCATAAAAGAGCCAAGGTGGCCTACCTCTGGCCTAGGCTGCTTTATCACTCGGGGACTTCAACTCCCAGAATTCCTGAGCCAGCCTGGCTCAGCTTGGAAACCCCTCCCTTTCCCCTCAGCGTGGCTGGCTCAGGAATTCTGGGAGTTGAAGTCCACGAGTCATAAAAGAGCCAAGGTGGCCTACCTCTGGCCTAACCCCCTCATGACTCGTGGACTTCAACTCCCAGAATTCCTGAGCCAGCCTGGCTCAGCTTGGAAACCTCTCCCCGTCCCCTCAGCGGGGCTGGCTCAGGAATTCTGGGAGTTGAAGTCCACGCGTCATCAAAGAGCCAAGGTGGCCTACCTCTGGCCTAGGCCCCCTCATGACTCGTGGACTTCAACTCCCAGAATTCCTGAGCCAGCGTGGCTCAGCTTGGAAGCCTCTCCCTTTCCCCTCAGCGTGGCTGGCTGAGGAATTCTGGGATCTGAAGTCCACCAGTCATAAAAGAGCCAAGGTGGCCTACCTCTGGCCTAACCCCCTCATGACTCGTGGACTTCAACTCCCAGAATTCCTGAGCCAGCCTGGCTCAGCTTGGAAACCTCTCCCCGTCCCCTCAGCGGGGCTGGCTCAGGAATTCTGGGAGTTGAAGTCCACGCGTCATCAAAGAGCCAAGGTGGCCTACCTCTGGCCTAGGCCCCCTCATGACTCGTGGACTTCAACTCCCAGAATTCCTGAGCCAGCGTGGCTCAGCTTGGAAGCCTCTCCCTTTCCCCTCAGCGTGGCTGGCTGAGGAATTCTGGGATCTGAAGTCCACCAGTCATAAAAGAGCCAAGGTGGCCTACCTCTGGTCTAGGCCTAGGCCACTTTATGACCCGTGGACTTCAATTCCCAGAATTCCGGAGCCAGCCTGGCTCAGCTTGGAAACCTCTCCCCGTCCCCTCAGCGGGGCTGGCTCAGGAATTCTGGGAGTTGAAGTCCACCAGTCATAAAAGAGCCAAGATGGCCTACCTCTGGCCTAGAGGAACACAACTCCGTCGAACTAACCAGCCTGGGGCCCTTGTCCTCTCTATAGGTGCTGTCTCTTCCAGTGCCCCCACTTGTGACGAGGGGACATCGGGGCCCCAGCAGAACGGCCATTCCTGCCCACGGAACAGCTGGTCCTCTGCACATATGCAGAGTGACCCTCCCAGGTGGAACCCCCCGGCCTCGTTTCGGATGGGAGCCCGAAGAGCTTCTGCAACGGGTGAGGAGCGGACAAACGTAAGGAGAGCTGGGAAGCACGGATGGGAGTTGGTGTTGGAGTCCTTGGCAAGGCTGAGCCCCCCGCCACCTGCCCGGGAAAAGTGGCACCATCAGATCTTGACCTTTGGGGGGGGGATAGAATAGAATGGAATGGAACAGAACAGAACCGGATGGAATGGAATAGAATGGAATAGAATAGAATGGAATGGGATGGGATGGGATGGAATAGAATAGAATATAGAATAGAATGGAATGGGATGGAATAGAATATAGAATGGAATGGAATGGGATGGAGTAGAATAGAATATGGAATGGAATAAAATGGAATGGGATGGGATGGAATAGAATGGAATAGAATAGAATATAGAATAGAATATAGAATAGAATGGAATGGGATGGAATAGAATGGAATGGAATAGAATCGGATGGAATGGGATGGAATGGAATAGAATATAGAATGGAATGGAATGGAATAGAATATAGAACATAGAATGGGATGGGATGGGATGGAATGGGATGGAGTAGAATAGAATATAGAATGGAATGGAATAGAATATAGAATGGAATGGAATGGGATGGAATAGAATATAGAATATAGAATGGAATGGGATGGAGTAGAATAGAATATAGAATGGAATGGAATGGGATGGAATAGAATGGGATGGAATGGAATAAAATGGAATGGGATGGAATAGAATAGAATATAGAATAGAATGGAATAGAAGAGCAACTACGATGATTAAAAGCCCAGAGATCTAAAACATACAAAGAAGAACGGTTGCAAGAATTGGGTTGGGCCAGACTAGTGAAAAGACAAACTAGGGGGGGGGACACAATAGCAGCCTTCCAGTATTTGGGGGAGCACCCCAAAGAAGAGGGGGGGGTGTCCACATATCCTCCAAAGCTCCTGCAGGTAGGACGAGAAACGACGGATGGAAACTGACCAAAGAGAGAAGCAACCTGGAATTAAGGAGAAAGCTCCCAACAGGGAGGACAATTAACCAGTGGAACAACTGGCCACTGGAAGTCGTGGATGCTTCATCCCTGGAGGTTTTTAAGAAGAAACTGGACAGCCACACGTCTGAAATGGTATAGGGTCTCCTGCTCGAGCAAGGGGGGTTGGATTAGAAGACCTCTAAGGTCCCTTCCAACTCCATTTGTCTATGATTCTGTAAGGTTTTCCTGTTCAAGCAGGGGGTTGGACTGGATGACCCCTAAAGTCCCTTCCAACTCCATTAGTCTATGATTCTCTCAGGGATTCCTGCTGGAGCAGGGGGTCAGATTAGATGACCTCCAGGGTCCCTTCCAACTCCATTAGTGTACGATTCTGTAAGGGTCTCCTGCTTGAGCAGGGGATTGGACTAGATGACCTCCAGGGTCCCTTCCAACTCCATTAGTCTACGATTCTGTAAGGGTCTCCTGTTGGAGCAGGGGCTCAGACTAGATGACGTCTAAGGTCCCTTCCAACTCCATCTGTCTACGATTCTGTAAGGGGTTCCTGCTGGAGCAGGAGGTCGGACTAGATGACCTCCAAGGTCCCTTCCAACTCTGTTCTCATTGGTTGATTGATTGATTGATAATTCTCTCCAGAATGACGATCAGGGTCTCACGCTGATCTTCCCGTCTTTCCCAGCCAGGGACAAAGGAAGACTTCCGGCCTTGGATGCAGGACCAGAGGCGAAGAACAGCCGCTCCGCGGCTCCGGGACTCTGCAGCTGCTCCCACGGAGCCGAGTCGGGAGCCGTGCAGCCCCTCGTCTCCAAACAGCTGGGCCGCCTGGCCGCCGACGTGAGCAGCCTTTGCCGGGACCTCTCCGGCCTGCAGAGCCACGTCTTGCAGCTGGAGCAGGACGCTCGCTGCTGGGCGCTGGAGCTGGCCGCGCTGCACCTGGAGAACCACCGCCTGGACAAGTACGCCCGGCGCCTGGAGAACCGTTGCCGCGCCTTGGAAAGCCGCTCCCGCCGTGCCAACCTACGCCTTCTGGGCTTGCCGGAGGGGGCCGAAGGGGGCGACCCGGCCGCTTTCCTCCGACGCGCCCTGCCGGAGTTGCTGGGCTGGCGCCCGGGAGCGCCGGTCTTGGAGATCGAGAGCGCCCGCCGGATCCGAAGCTGGGACTCGTCCGGCAAGCCGCGCCCGCTGCTCTTCCGCGTCTCCCGCTCCGCCGACCGAGCGGCCGTGCTGGAAGCGGCGCGCAGCCGGCCGCTGCGCTTCGCCGAGGCGCAGCTTGCCATCTTGCCCGATCTTGGCGCCCCACGGCGGAGACCGCCGCCCGCCCCCTTCCGGAGGAGCCGGTGGGTGGCCGACCTGCTTTTCGGGGGGCGGCCCATCCCCCCTTGCACCCCCCTGGTGGCCGTGGGGAATCCGGGGTTGCCCCCCTCGCCGGGGTCTCGTGGGGGCTGCGAGCAACACAATCTGTGAGACATTGCCGGGGGGTGGGGCGGGGGAGACGGTCCGGGAAAGCGACTTGGGACGACGGTCGACCAAAACCGACTTTCCCAAGCGTGGGAAAGCATTGACTCTCTCCTCCTTGCCGTCCAGCGAAGGTGGGTGGGCTAAGCCACCGTCCTGCTACTTTTGCATGGCTTCTCTGCAAAGGGGGGGGGGGTTTAACAATTAGGGGAAAGGGGGGAAACGGTTGTGTCCCGTCCCTACTTCTCACCCGCTCCCCTGCTGCTGCTGTGTAGGCATTGCACAAGAGAGGGGTGTTGGCCTGGGTCTCCAACGGGTGCCCCCCCCAGACCCTTTCCAAGTGACCAGATCTGGGGTGCAGGAGGTGGGGGGCCAAAGTCTCCATGAAGCAGAGTTTGGCAATCGTGATGGTTTTAAGAGGGGAGCAACTCCCAGAATCCCCCAGCCGGCCTGCTTTAAGAGGGGAGGGCTTCCACTCCCAGAATCCCCCAGCCGGCCTGCTTTAAGAGGGGAGGGCTTCCACTCCCAGAATCCCCCAGCCGGCCTGCTTTAAGAGGGGAGGGCTTCCACTCCCAGAATCCCCCAGCCGGCCTGCTTTCAGAGGGGAGGACTTCCACTCCCAGAATCCTCCAGCCAGCAGGGGGAATGTCCGGGGGGGGGGGGAAGATCCATGCTGGGAGTTCTAGTTCCACCTCAGGCACGAAAGCCAGCTGGGTAATTTTGGGCAAATCGCCAGGTTAGGGTGAGTTAAAGTCTCACCTTAGGAACGTTGACGTTGGGCCAATCACTGGGAGACAGGGAGCTGTAGTCCTGCCTTAGCCGTGAAAGCCAGCTGGATGACTGTGGGCCATTCACCGGGAGACGAGGAGTTCTAGTCCTACCTTAGTCACAAAAGCCGATTGGGTGACTTTGGGCCGATTACCAGGAGATATAGAATTCTAGTCCTCCTTAAGCAGGAAAGCTAATTGGGTGACTGTGGGCCAATCACCAGGAGACGGTGAGTTCTAGTCCCAGGTTAGGGAGAGGAGCTAACTGGGTGACTTTGGGCCAATCACCAGGAGACGGTGAGTTCTAGTCCTATGTTAGGTATAGGAGCTAACTGGGTGACTTTGGGCCAATCACCGGGAGATGGTGAGTTCTAGTCCCATGTTAGGGATAGGAGCTAACTGGGTGACTTTGAGCCAATCACCAGGAGACTGGGAGTTCTAGTCCCATGTTAGGTATGGAGCTAACTGGGTGACTTTGGGCCAATCACCGGGAGACGGTGAGTTCTAGTCCCATGTTAGGGATAGGAGCTAACTGGGTGACTTTGAGCCAATCACCAGGAGACTGGGAGTTCTAGCCCCATGTTAGGTATAGGAGCTTACTGGGTGACTTTGAGCCAATCACCAGAAGAGGGTGAGTTCTAGTCCCAATTTGGGCCCACCGACTTTAGGCCAATCACCAGGAGACGTTGAGTTCTAGTCCTGCCTTCAGCACGAACGTCGGCGGGGCGACTTGGGCCCAATCACCAGGCGGCGGTGAGTTCGAGTCCTACCACAGGCACGAAAGCCAGATGGGGGGGCATTTCCTGTCTCTCTCTCTCTCTCTCTCAGTCCAATCTTCCTCACAGGATTGTCGTTCTGAGGAAAATAAGAGGAAGAAGGAATACTATGTACGTCCGCCATTTTGAATTGCTTGTAAAGTAATCGAGGCGGAGCGAAAACCGATAAGAAAATATCTAATAAATAACTGAACAAACAAAACGAGCGTTTTGCAAGATGGCTTGGGCGCACACACACACACACACACACACACACCCTGCCCCTCCCTCGGTGGAAATTAGTGAGGACGGATTGGCCACGAAGCAGCCACGGTCCCCAAGCCCTCGGCCTCACCTGGGAACACCTCTATTTAGATCTTCCCCAATGTACACCTCTGCGGCACGCACACGCCTAATCAGGTTTCTAGCCCTCAGTAAGACAGTCTGCATATTTGAGCAGCTGCTGCCGGCACTAGGCAGGCACTAATGAGCCCTATTTATGTTTTATTTATTTAGGGTTTTTTTTTCTTCTATTTATGTTCCAGCTCCCGGGGTCAAGCAGGAGACCCTTAACGGAATCGCAGAGCTGGAAGGGACCCTGGAGGTCATCTGGCCCAACCCCCTGCTCGAACAGGAGACCTCTACAGAATAACAGAGTTGGAAGGGACCCTGGAGGTCATCCACTCCAACCCCCTGCTCAAACAGGAGACCCCTACAGAATAACACAGTTGGAAGGGACCCTGGAGGTCACCTAGTCCAACCCCCTGCTCAAGCAGGAGACCCTTCCAGAATCATAGACAAATGGAGCTGGAAGAGACCTTAGAGGTCATCTAGTCCAACCCCACGCCCAAGCAGGAGACCCTTCCAGAATCATAGACAAATGGAGCTGGAAGAGACCTTAGAGGTCATCTAGTCCAACCCCACGCTCAAGCAGGAGACCCTTCCAGAATCATAGACAAATGGAGTTGGAAGGGACCCTGGAGGTCATCTAGTCCAACCCCCTGCTCAAGCAGGAGACCCTTACAGAATCATAGACAAGTGGAGTTGGAAGAGACCTTAGAGGTCATCTAATCCAGCCCCCTGCTCAAGCAGGAGACCCTTCCAGAATCATAGACAAATGGAGTTGGAAGGGATCCTGGAGGTCATCTAGTCCAATCCACTGCTCAAGCAGGAGACCTTTATACAGAATCATAGACAAATGGAGCTGGAAGGGACCCTAGAGGTCATCTGGCCCAACCCCCCGCTCAAGCAGGAATCCCTTACAGGCAGTGGTGGCACACCTAGGGCACGTGTGCCAGAGGCGGCACTCAGAGCCCTCTCTGTGGGCATGTACGCCGTCGCCCCAGCCCTACCTCCCCCCCGTGGCCCCTTCCCCCCCAACAGCCCCCCCTGGAGGAGAGTTGCGCCCGGGCATGGCCCGTATGGAGCAGCGCAGCCAAAGATATGGCAGCCGGGCAGCGGGGACAAGACTCCGCCCTCGTGCCCCGTCGCGCGCAATCAATGCTGCGGGGTGCGGGCAGACGGCGTGGCCGCCGTGGTCCTGCTGGGTCGCCTGGGCGATCCGCGGCCGGCCGGGGAGGCGGGGAGTGGCCTTGCGGGTGGGCGGGGGCGGAGCGGGGACAGGGCAGGCGGGGCGGAGTGGGTGGGACCAGGGCTGGGGCACCCTGTCGACGTGAAAGATGCATAAGTCGTCTCTGATAGACAGGGCTGCCAGTTCAGAGAGACACCTAGCTCAGTGGTTCTCAACCTTTTTAATGCCGCGCCCCCCAACCGGTCGTAAGTCGAGAACTACTCAACCGGTCGTAAGTCCAGGACTACTCAACTGGTGCATCCCCGTTGGCAGACTGGGATTTTTGGCGGGCTCAGCAGGGCAGAGACAGCCTGGACCATTCCTATTGGCTTTTGAAAGCCAATAGAATTAAACTCTATTCAAGAGAGTCTATTCTATTGGCTTTCAAAAGCCAACAGAATAAAAGGGAGGAGCACAGCTAAGGAAAAGGGGGGGAAAAATGGCGGACTGCGTTGTTTGGCGACCCCCGTGAAATGGTCGTTCGACCCCAAATGGGGTCCCGACCCACAGGTGGAGAACCACTGGCCTAGCTGATGTGACGGCCACTAGGAAGGCCATCTTAAGCGTCAGGCTCGAAGGGAAGAGAAGTGAGAACCTGTAGGACAGTGGTTCTCAATCCATCCATCCACCTTTCCAATCCATCCACCCATCCATCTTTCAAATCCATCCATCCATCCATCTTTCCAATCCATCCACCCATCCATCCATCTTTCCAATCCTCCATCTTTCCAAATCCATCCATCCATTCATCCATTTTTCCAATCCATCCATCCATCTGTCCAATCCATCCATCCATTCACCTTTCCAATCCATCTATCCATCAATCCACCTTTCCAATCCTTCCAATCCATCCATTTATCCATTTTTCCAATCCATCCATCCATCCTTCCAATCCATCCATCCTTCCAATCCATCCAGCCATTCACCTTTCCAATCCATCTATCCATCCATCCACCTTTCCAATCCATCCATCCATCCATTTTTCCAATCCATCCATCCATCTATCTTTCCAATCCATCAATCCATCCATCTTTCCAATACATCCATCCATCAATCCACCTTTCCAATCCTTCCAATCCATCCATTTATCCATTTTTCCAATCCATCCATCCATCCTTCCAATCCATCCATCCTTCCAATCCATCCAGCCATTCACCTTTCCAATCCATCTATCCATCCATCCACCTTTCCAATCCATCCATCCATCCATTTTTCCAATCCATCCATCCATCTATCTTTCCAATCCATCAATCCATCCATCTTTCCAATCCATCCATCCACCTTTCCAATCCATCCATCCACCTTTCCAATCCATCCATCCACCTTTCCAATCCATCCATCCATCCATCTTTCCAATCCATCCATCCACCTTTCCAATCCATCCATCCACCTTTCCAATCCATCCATCCATCTTTCCAATCCATCCATCCATCCATCCATCTTTACAATCCTTTCAGCCAGCCAGCCAGCCGTTTCTCATCCTTGGCAACTTGCAAGTGGATGGACTTCAACTCCCAGAATTCCCTAGCCAGCATGTTGAGAAGCTCTGATCTCTTTTTCTACTTCCCTCCCTCCTTCCTCATCTATCCATCCATCCATTTTTCCAATCCATCTGTGGTTTTTTTATAATATTTTATTAATTTTCCAATTTTACATTTGAATATTTAAAAAGCAGCGCAGTGACTGGGTTAATCGATAGTTCAATAACAAAATCTTAGTGGAAATCTCAGATATTTCTTCTCTTTTTCCCCTTAACATTTACTGTCTCATATTCAGATTAGTACATTTCTAATTATATCAGCTCAATAAGAACATCATTATTACATTTATCAATAAATTTTTAGCTTATACATATCAGAATTACATTCACTCTTCATAAACAATCCATATCCTGTTATTGATTTTTACTCAGTTTTTAATTTCTTATCAATATTCCAATTTAACCTTTGATATTTATAATTTTCAGACTTTGGGTAACCAAAATTTCCCTTATCTCATTTCATAACAAACTATAATATCCAAAATACATATTTTATCTATTTGAATATAATCTATTTCCCATCATATTAAATCATCTACTTAATAACACAATATCCCCTTTAATAAATCAAAACCATTATATATATTGCCTGGGTTAATCAATAAATCAAACATATTCATAATATTTCATTTTATCCATCCGTTCCTCATCCTTGGCAACTTGCAAGTGGCTGGACTTCAAATCCCAGAATTCTCCAGCCAGTGTGTTGAGAAGCTCTGATCTTTTTTCTCCCATCCTCCCTCCCTCTTTCCCATCCATCCTGCTTTCCTTTCTTCCCGCCTTTTGTCTTCTCTGTGTTCTGCCTACTGTTTCATTTACCTCAGAAGCTAGAAAACTTTTCTCCCCTCCCCCGCCCCCCAGGAACCTACCTCCAGCCTGGCCACTTTCA